AGCTCCTCTCTGTCTCCATCTATTAAAAAAAAGAAAAACTTACTCAACTATAAGGCTCAGATCAAGCCAGACTCCCTTTATGAGATCCTTTGTGATGTCCCTGATGCCCACAACTCGCTCTTCTTTTGTGTTCCCTGTCTAAAATATTCATTTGGGGCACTTAATTATATATTGTTATATAAGTCTGTGTCTTTCCTTCTCAACAAGATTTTGAACTTCTTAAGGATAGCAACCATGCTTTTGTTGCTCAATATGGCATTTCAATAAATATTTGTTGACTTATATTGTCTTTTCTGCTTCCATTGGAGGCAAAACAAGAATGTCTCAAAAATTAACTGCAGGTCAGATTGAGATGAGATAAAAAAGAATTTATTGAGCATGAAAAGTGTAGATAATTGAGGTGATGGTCATCTCTTTGAAGAGAGAAATTAAAATCACATGGGAATTATAATTACCTGAGTGTCATGGAACAAGCCTTAGCTTTGAAAAATTGCTAAAGGGAATTTTATCATTGTAGGGGTGTATCATTGCTCTCCTTATGACAGAAAGGATTTCAGTTGGCTAGAAAGTAAAGTCTGATAATATTTAATTATGAAATTGCAAATGTATACTGGGTACCTTCTACAATATCAGGAAATAATATTCCCTAGCACTCACTGGAGGCAAAATTCTCTGCTGTGCATTTTGCATGTATCATTGCACTTAATTCTTATAACGTGCCTGGGAGTTGGACACTGTTATTATCATCTTTTTAACAATATTGGACTTAAGATCTGTAGAAGTACAACAACTCTCAAGGCCACACACAAAAGTCAGTGGTAGCCTGGGAATTCAAATTCAGGTCTATGTGACCACAGGGCTTAAGTTCTTACCTCCCACATCATGATGGTAGGCAAGGCGCTGGGCACTGTGTGTGTTATTAACCTAGGTACCTATTTTCTAGATAAATGGAATGCTCCTCTGCAGCCCAGCCTATAAAGTTAGAGAGTAATTCCGGACAGAAGGAATCTACGTCTCAGTTTATTCATTTCATAGACACAGACTGCAGCTTCACAAGTCGATCAGAATTTCAAAGGAATAGAATTTTTGTATAATTTGTTTGATGCCTGAAAAATACCAGTAAATATGCAAAGTTAGGGCAACAACATCCACAGAAGACAGCCTGGCGTATAAATAAAAATACCTTCAAACACTTCTCAGTTCCTGTTCTATTGTTACTCTGTTTGCCAAATCCCAAAATGCCAACGCTACCTAATTAAGGGGTCTGCCAAGTTTTTCTTAAAATTGATTTCTACTATGGAAGGACTGATTTTTCTCTAGTCCATATGATTTTCAGAATCATCCAAATAGATATGAGAAATTATAATTATATAGAAACATAATTCTTTCAAAAACACTCAAGTCAAAGGGAAAACTAATTCAAGAAAAAATTCACGTCAGGAAAATGTCAAGAAGCAGCCAAGTCTAGAAAACGCTTCTATGAAAACATACAATGCACCTGTCATAGAGAACATTTAGCTGGCTATCATCTCTGTCACAGAAGATTAGTTAACTTGTTGAAATTCTGATATAAAACTTGGTGAAACACTATGTTGAAAATAACCAGCTTTAATTCTTGTTTAATCAACAAATTTGTGTAAAAGACACGTCTTTTAAGAATACAGTTTTTGAAAATTTAGTATGTGAAAGTCAACAAACCTATCCTGAGGCTGTAGATCTCTGAATAGACGAGAATTCAGCTGTCTTGGGATTCTCACTATAACTCCAGTATAATGAGAATACAGCCAAAAGGATCCTTCCTACCTGGCTCCAGCTACAGAGGTCCAAACTGTAGAAGAAGGAAGCTAAGCATGGGACAGGAGGACCTCTGTCTGGCTCGTGAAAGAGACAGAAAAGAGGGTATTCCTGTTGTTAGTGCCATCAAGTCTATTCCAACTCCTAGCCACCCTGTGCCCAGCGGAGCAGAGCCCCACCCGGTTTCTCTGTGCCATCCTCTCACCTTCCAGCTTACATCAGACAATGCTCCACTGCTAATCACAGGGTATTCACGGCCAGTTTTTTCGGAAGTGAGTGGCCAGGTCCTTCTTCCTAGTCTGTCTTAGTCTGGAAGCTCCGCTGAACCTGTCTACCACGGGTGACCCTGCTGGTATTTGAAATACCAGTAGCACAGCTTCCAGCATCACAGCAACACGCAGCTGCCACAGTGTGACAACCAACAGATAGGTGGTGTGGTTCCCTGACCAGGAAATAAACTCAGGCTGTGGGGGTGAGAGCCCATATCTTAACTTCCAGACCCCCAGGGCTGGCCAAAAGAGGATATACTCTCCCCCAATTTTCTGCCATGGGCAAAAAGGAAGGAAACCATAATCCAGAGGGCACTGGAAAACTAATTTGACCCTTCTCTGGGGCTCGTTGGAAAGCCTGAAGCTAAGAAGAAATAATCCCATCCTGCAGGTTGGATGGCTTCCGGTCTGAAATGAAGAATTTAGGGGCAAGAATGATGCAAGGAGGGGCGAAAATTTGTGAAAAAGGCACAAATCTGCATCTTCAGAAGTATCAAGGAAATCTCTTAGTTTCTGTGTACTATGAGTAATGTAAATTTAGATATTTTAACAGAGCTTTATTTTTATTTTAAAAAGGCAGTTGTGCTTTCCTATCTACCTTAAACCCATCCATAGCATAAGCCTTAAAAGGCGGGCTGTGTTCTTCTCCCGCCTTCTGGTGGAGCCCTGGCACCAGCGACCATGTGAGAGGCCGATAAGCTCCTTGTGGTGCTGCAGTTGCAAAACTTGAGGCCTAAAGGCTCCTCCAGTTCAGAGATCCACTGTCTCATTAACACAAATAAGTTCTTGACAACATTGGAAATTAATTAATTGGTTCATTTTCCATAAACAATCTCATGACAAAGAGGAAGAGTTGGGTGGTGGGGCAATGCCATTTTTGGAGACGCTGTGTCAGTTTATGTGGTGATGGGATGGGCCATAGTCTTCCCCATCCACCAGAGGTCGTTTCCAGCAATTGTAACAAGTAATCTGCCACATCTTTCAATCGTGTAAGAGTGCTCAGAAAAGAAAGAAATTAGCACCACTAAAAATCTGATACTCATGGCTATAATGTAACCCCAGGGGACTGTTGATAGGATGGGGTTTGGAGTCAGCCAGGCTTGGGCTGGGGTTGCAGCTCTACTGTATACAAGCTATGAGACGTTGAACAGTTACTTAACCTCTTGGAGCTCCCACTGTGAAATGGGGTAAGAATGTTTTCCTTGCAAGGCTGTTGTGCTGGGGTAAAGGTGCATGACAGTCAACCGATAAATGATGGCAACTATTATTACTATTTTAAAAATTCCAAAAGCAGCTCATTATATGTTGGCATCCTCTATTATCATCATCAACATGAGCACTGAAACCAAGTCTTCAACACAGACTACCTTGTCCTTAGGTTTGCAGCTGGTCTGGCAAACTCTCATACCAGGTTCTCAGAATCCATTTCTCCTTATTCTGACTGATGCGGTAAAATATTAGCACAGTGCGTTAAGCATAAAATGCTTTTAGAGTTTTGAGTTTCACAAATTTATGTAAGACGGAATAAAATATCCATCATCTACAATAAATTCTATTGTTCCCAGAAGGGGTAGATAAATCTCAAGGCATAATTATGCTCCTGCCTGCCGTGACCTTTGAAGATGCATATCTGCCTGAAAAATAATAGAATAATTCCTCCTTAGTGAAAAATCTCCGAGTTTCTATTTGAAATATGCTTTAAATAAAATAATGCCTATGGATACTTTATTTTTACTACAGTGGGTCATCTTCAGTTTCATTGGGCTTGATTTTCCTAACAGTCCAACAGAAACTATTCATCACATTTTGCTGCATATCTACAAGCATCTTTCGTTTGTCTGAAGTCCAAAGGAAATTATTTTCCCCATGTTTGCTTTCTGAGGACATACCCATATTCTACCTAAACTTAGTAGAAAACGGACTGTGGTCGTTGTGTACGTTGATACTGTGATTAAGGCTCTCCTATGAAATAACACTTTTTAGCACCTCCTGCTGTTTGTTTAAACATGCTTGGGAAAATTAGGATGGCTCCCCCTGAATATTCACAGGAACCTTCACAACACTGCCAGCAGCACAATCCAATTTCTTTGAACATTTCCTAAGCACCAAACCTTTTCGAAATACGGTGAAAGAAACCATGGGAGGCATGAAGGAGGAGGAAGAGGTGAGGAACAAGAAGGCTGTGGTGGCGGAGGGGGCACGTGGTTACAGGAGGGGGGGAGGGAGGGAGAGAATGTGGAGGAGAGGAGGGGGAAGGAGGAGGGGAGAGAAAGAAAGAATAAAAATGAAAACAATAAAAAGCCGTCTCTGCCCGAGGTTCCGGTTCTGTGATGGTTTTTCCACGTGTCCAACTCAACAAATGGCTTCACCAAATCTCAACCATGTCTTACTGCCTTTGGACTCCACAGAAGAGCTACTGATAATGCACCCCTGTGTTGTGTGAGTCTGTCTACCCAGCACTGAAAACCCTACACAATCACACTTGTTCTCGTGTCTTTCCCTCCCACACAGACTTTTGAGTCCCAAATCATGCATTTTTGAGAGACGGGTGAGCTCAGGGGTGCCACCCTCTCTATGATGTATATAACCTAGGTGGCCCTAGGCAGGATTGCACCTGATTGCAAAGCACAGTTCAGGGGAAAACACTTGTTCTCCAGGATCTAGAGTGTAAACCTGGGAATCAGAGCAGGAGGTGGGCAGGGTCATTCCAGAAAGTGAGCTTCACAAATGGGCAAGTACTGGACTCAAGTGGCCCCCTGGCCCTTGGTGTAGTCACCTAAGGAGGCGTCACAGAGGTCCCACAATATCAGGACCCTTCGCTGCCAAAAGTCAAGATGCCCCATTTCCTGCCCTGAGAATTAAGGAACTAGTCAGTGTTCTAGGCTTTGCTTTGGTCTGCAGGTTTCTAATTAAAAGAAAATGAAAGAACCATCTTACCCATGAGGAATTTTGCTCAGGACATAATATCCAGTATAGGAGTGTTGATATATCTGAAACAGACAAAAAGAAAAAAAAAAAAAGAAGAAAAGCAAGCATTGAGACAAAGGCAGTGACTATGATATTTTTCAAATCACTATGAATCCTAATAAGCATCAGTGGACCAAAAGTACTTAATCAGGAGACCTGGTGGCAAAGTCTTTTATTTATTTAGGAAGTTAGTTTGCATATCCTGTTTATGTTATTTCCTTAATTTGCACATAGTTTACAGGGCAGCCACAGGCTTGATGTCGTCTCCTTGGTTACCTGGTTTGTGATTAGATTGGGGCACAGATTTCCAGCTCAACTAAATGGAGCACAGAACTAACGAGGACATTGTGGTCATAGAGGCTGTCAGACCATCAGCTAGACCCAATGGGACAGTAAGACCCTTGTACTGCAGGAGTTTCCTATAAATTATGGCAAATTCCATTGTGCATCCTCAGTGAGTTGCAATACTGTAGCCAACGCAGGCTTAATTGGACAAACTCTTGTCCCTTTGTACAATTTGATGTATATCTTTTAGCTTCCGAGAGTGGTCAATAAGCTAAGAACTCACTGCAAGAGGGGAGCGTAGCCTTCAAAACTAAGATAACAAAAAAACAAAACAGTGTTTCCAACGTCCTACAACCCCCAAATCTCGGGTGCCCTTTTTAAACTCTTGAGCCAGGAGATCACTCCTCAATCCATAAATACAATGAATAGAACACGAGGGATACCCAAAAGAAGGGAGAACACGGCAGTTGAAGAAATCTTGGCATCCTTCATCTCCAGCTTTCTGGATGGAGACCCTCCTCAGGGTATGGAATGTGATGGGTTACTCTGTAGGGTTGAAGCGAGAACCCTATTTCACTTAACTTTCCTCTACCTGTGAAACTTCCGAGAGTGGGCACCCTGCATGGGTAAATGTTCAGTAATTTGCATTTAAGAACACCTCTCCGAAGATAACAGGTGAGGGACATGTGGGCCAGGGAAGACAGATCTAATGTGAAGCTTGTGCAATAGAGGAATGCATTTGGGGTACTGATGACGGAAATGAGCCTGCAAAAGAAACGGGTAAGATTTTGCTAATATCACAGACTCCCTGCCTAGTCTGGGCGCCTGAATTAACTTCTAGGAAATCACCGTGGATTCGAGTTATTTGGAGAAAAAGGACCCAGACATAAAAATAAGCAACGGCACTTAAGTCCCAACAATCTCATGCTTTTAGAGACCCTGGGACTCCCGAACCAGAAATAAGGGGCCTAGGGTGGTCTGCTGGAAGGCAGTGCATGGACATCTGACTCAGAAGTTAGTCTAAATACTGCTTTAGTCATGAAGAAATACCCACGAAGGAACAAAATAGCGAAGGAAACTTCACAGAGCTGCCACAGCCATCTAAGAAGGAATCCATGGACCTGACTCAGTTTGTAATTTCTGAAGTGATGAGTGGTGCTGCTTCCCCAGGAGAAGAAGGAAGGACCTGTGTACCAGCTTCTGCGTCCTAAGTAGATTACTGCTCAGAAAGAGCCCATCAAATGACCTTGCTCTCTGACTAAACAGGGCCTCTGAGCTGGAGCGGCTTCTTCAGATGCAAGAGCAGAAGCGAATGGATATCTCCGTCTCTTATCTCCACAGTTACGGCATTTGGTGCTATGCTGTACAGTGTTTCTAAATTCTCCTTCCAAAAGTACTTTTTCACACTGTTTATCTCCCTCTATTTTCACAGTAATCCTAGGCAGGCAAAAGATTACCTCTGTTTGTTAAGATAGGAAACTGAGGTACACCAAGGGCAGAGGAGTGGGGAGGAAAGAGAAGGGGAGGAGAGGCAAAGAGAAGGAGGAGGGAGGAGGGAGGTGTGGAGCCTAATCTGTACCCTTGAGTGTTGGCATACTTAGCGACTCAAATGCATTGAATGTGACGGAAATGATGATGTTCGACTTCTGAGACCAGGTTACAAAAGGTATTGTGACTTCCTTCTTGCTCTCTTTCAGATCACTTGCTCTGGAGGAAGACAGCTGCCATGTCGTGAGGACACTCGAGCAGCCCTGTGAAGAGGTGCATGTGGTGAGGGGCACAGGTTCCACCCCGCTGGATCACCAACAGACAGCAAGGAACTAAAGCATCTCACCAACAGCCACGTGAGGGAGCTTGGAAGTGGATTCTTCATCCCCAATCAAGCCTCCAGATGATGCAGCCCTGGCTGACACCTGGGTAGCAACCTCACGAGAGATCCTGAGCCAGAGCCACTCAGATAAGATGGTCCTAAATTCCTGACTCACAGTAATGGCAAGATAATAAATGTTGATTGTCTTAAGCCACTAAGTTTTGGGTAGTTTCTTACACAGGAGTAGGTCAGTAGCGAAGAGATGAGGGGCTGGGTAGGACCACTCCCCAAACCAAAACACTCAGAGGAAGCCTTTGAAACGACTGTGGAGAACAGTCCAAAGCACTGGAGATGATGATGGTGCTGATGCTGATGCAACTGAAAGTGACAGTGGCTAGCATTCATGGAGCACGCACTATGTGTTAGGCAGTAACTAACTCCTTAGCACAGAGGAACTCATTCATTCTTCATGAGGTAAGCAATGTTATCCCATTTTTAGGATAGGAAAATTGAATCTTAAGGAATTTAAGTCAAACCCAAGCAAGATTTGATCTGAGGTCTGTCTCTCTCTAAACACTGCATTGGAAACAGCCTGAACAAAGGGTGTGTCTCATAACTCTCAAGTTATAAGTCCAAGTTGATTGCTGTCAACTGAAAAATCCAGGATATCAACAGATACAATAAATAAGCAAAGCAAGGACACGTGCTGTCTTTCTTGGTTGAAGGCCTATTTCTTTAATCCATCTGGAAATAGTGATTTCAATTCATTCCTGTGTTATGCCATTCCCGAACAAATACCTGGCCTTACCTCTTCGCATGCCTCTTTCAACACACCACTAAGTGACCCTGAAATTCAGCTCTGTGAATATGTTCCAAGTGGAACCGATGAGAAAAAGGAAGACAGAATGAAAATAACCTTCTAAGTGCAATGGTAAGAAGATGAGAGGACTATCCATTTTCAATTCTACGTCTGTACTTTGAGGCAAAAAGAAAACAAAACATGTATGGATGGGAAATGTAATCAAATATCTTGAAAACTGGATCACTAATTAGAAAGATTCAAACAAAAATGAGAGCAAGTCAAGAAGCAGAGACAGAAAAATCTGAGATGCTGGATCTGCCAAGTCTGTATGGTAAAGAAGCCTCCAGAGTAAACTGTTAATGCAAATGCAATGCCTTGAAGTGAAAGTGAAATTATGACTCAAGTGCTACTCTTAAAAAAACGGGGAAGTGGGAGGGAGAGAGGACCATTTTCTCATTTCTCCAAGACGAAATAATCAAATATCATTCTTTTCCACAAAATCTCCCCTCAGCTGGAGCCAAAGGCCTGGAGGCACAAAGGAAACAACTCCTTCAAGAGCTCAGATTTCAAGAGTTTGCTTTTGCACAATGCTTTATCATGAACAGCATAGAAAAAGCTCCATCTCACTGAAAGAATTTGTTCCTGAGAGAGAGAAAGGCTTTCTGTTCTTTCTTTCTTTTTATAGTCTCTATTTATCTGTTGTATTTATGTTTCTTTCTTTAAAACAGACTCTAAATACTTCTGATCATGGAAAAAGAGATAAAGTTGGAAGTTAGACTGAATTCAGTTACTTTTCTAAGCTTTTAGAAGTTCATGAATATGAGTTACTTTGGTGTCTTCCTACACCATCAAATTTCCCTTGGAAAATGAATACATGAAAACTTCTTACCCAAAACACCATTCAGAAGATGAGAAAAAACCATTTCAGCAAATTGTTTTTTCAATATATCATGCAAAATAGTTGATATTGGTATTCAACAGCTGGAGAAAAAACAATCCGTCAAGGGTTTGTCCTGGGCTAAATTCATCTTTGCTCTGCTGCTTATATTTCTGAGACATCCCTCTGCCCACAGCTTGCTTTCTTATCTTCCCTCCATCATTCCCACTGAGCCACACTTCTGATTTCTCCACGGCCTTTCCTGCCTCAGCCCCATCCTGCGCACTCACACAGACTCACTTTACATCCTCTTCCTCTAGGAAGTAATCCACTCTTGTAGTTTTAAATCATTATTACCTAAATATCGGTGACTCCCACAGGTCCGGCTCCTCATCTGTAGACCAACATACAAGAGTTCCACCTCAACAACTCCATCTCATGCCTCACAGGCACCAAAAACGCACTATTCTCTGAAATAAACTCCAACTACACTTAAAGCCTAGTTCTTCTTTGATATTTCCCATCTCAGTTGGAGGCTCCATCATCCAACCAGTAAACTGAGCTGAAAATCTAGTTTTCCTTGACTCCATCCTATGCCTCCTTCCCCCTCCTACTTCAGGTCAGGAATTAACTTAAGTCCTTCTCAAATCCATCACCCACTCTTCATCCCTGTGGCAAGTGCCTTACTTCAGACCTCCTCTCCATCCTTCCTTTCCTACAGAAAGAAGCTACCATATTCCTTTCCAAGACTAATCTCTGAGGTCTCGACCCCATTCCCTTTTGCTTCCAGTTGAACTTTATCAACTGTTCCAGCACAAAATCCCGTCTTATATTTCTCACTACTCTCTCTGCATTCAGTGTTCCTTTTCCCAAATCTTTAAACTATAACTCAAATCTCATGCATTAAAAAAAAAAATAAAATCCCAGGGGCCAGCCCAGTGGTGCAGCAGTTAAGTTTGTGTGCTCTGCTCTGGCAGGCTGGGGTTTGCAGGTTCGGATCCCAGGTGCAGACCTAGCACTGCTCATCAAGCCACGCTGTGGTGGCGTCCCACATAAAGTAGAGGAAGATTGGCACAGATGTTAGCTTGGTGACAATTTTCCTCAAGCAAAAAAAGAGGAAGATTGGCAACAGATATTAGCTCAGGGCCAATATTCCTCACAAACACACACGCACAAAATCCCTGCCACATTCCCTTCGTACTCCTCCTTCTTTTCAACTACCATGGCACTTCATAAGAAAAGTCTACAC